ATTTAGGTCTACGATCCATTTTGAGTTAAATTTTGTGAAACATGTAACATCTGGTCTATCTTCACAATTTTACATCTATTCTAGCACCATTTGGTGAAAAGACAGTCTTTCCTCCCTTGACTTGCCTTTCCTCCATCAATGATGAGTTTGCTATATTTGTGTACATTTCTTCCTGGGCTCATAATTCTATTCCATTATCTACCTGTATAGTCTTTCATCACTATCACATTGTACTGATTCATACTGATAGCTTTATCCTAAATCCTGGGGTAATATTAGTTTTACCACTTTTTTATTGTATTAGCTATTCTGGATCTACAACATTTTCATATAAACTTTAGAGTCATTTGTGAATATTTATACAATAACTTCTTTGTATTTTAATGAAAGTATAATGACTCTAAAAAATAAAGTTGGAAATAACAGGTACTTTAACAATATTGTCTTCCTATCCAAAATATGGAATACTGTTCCATTTGTTTAGTTCTTTATAAACTTATTTTGTTAGAGTTTTGTTATTTTTCTCATATATGTCATGTATATCTGGTTCAAATTACACCTAAGTATTTTAATTTTTTGGTGCTAATATAAAGGATACTGTGTTTTTAGTGTCAAATTCTGTTGTTCCCTGCTGGTATATAGGAAAATGATTGACTTTTGTATATTAACCTGGTATCCTATAATCTTGCTATAGTCACTTACTAGTTCCATGAGGTTTTTTGTTGTTGATTCTTTGGTATTTTCTACATAGTATCTGAGAATATAGAAGTTTTATTTCTTTCTTTTCAATTGGTATACATTTTCTTTTCTTGTTTTACTGGATTATCTACAATGTTGACTAAGACTGCAGAGAGGTGATGTCTTGCCTTATTCTAAAGGTGGAAATATTGTTTCCTGCCATTAAGTATGATGTTAACTGTAGACTTTTATAAATTCTTTTAAAAATCATGGTTCTGAAGTTTCTCTCTATTCCTCGTTTACTTAGAATTTTTATCATAAATGTATGTTGGAATTTATCAAACTCTTATTCTGCATCTGTTGACATATGATTTTTCTTCTTTAGCCTGTCGACATGATAAATTTCTTTAGTTGATTTTTGAATGTTGAATCTTTTTATACTTGTAATACATGCTGCCCTGTCATGTATAATTATTTTTGTACATGTTGGATTTGATCTGCTAATATTTTGTTGAAGATATTTGCACATATGTTCATAAGAGATTGGTCTGTTGTTTTGCTTTCTTGTAACAACACCCTTATTTGGTTTCAGTATTAGGATAATGCTTGCCTCACAGAATAATTTCAAAATTATTCCATCTGCTTCTACTTTCTGGAAGAGTTGCCATGAATGGATATAACCTCTTCTTTAAATGTTTGGTAGAATTCGTCAGTGAAAACTTCTGGGCCTGATACTTTTATATTTATTGAATTTTATTAAAAGTATTCTGCTATAATTTTTGAGATATAGTTTCACATGTAGTTTCATATTGACAGATTGTCAGGTATTTACCTATTCTTGCATGCCTAATTAAACTCTACATGATTATAACATGTCATACTATTTGCTAGTATTTTTTCATCTAAGTAAATTAAACTTTTTCTATAGTTATTTTCTCTATTAGCTTGCTATCTCGTTCTGATGTTAGTATTACAGAGCTTCATAAAGTTTGCACTCTACCTCCTCAAATTTTTGAAAAGTTTGTATAGAATAGATCTTATCAGTGCTTTGAAACTTTAGACATTTCACAAGTAAGACTGTCTGACTACAGTAACCAAAACAGCATGGTACTGGTAACAAAGAGATATGTAAACCAAAGGAACAGAACAGAGACCTCAGAAATAACACCACACATCTACAACCATCTGATCTTTGACAAACCTGACAAAAACAAGCAATGGGGAAAGGATTCTCTATTTAATAAATGATGAGACTAGGCCCCTTCCTTTCACCTTATACAAAAATTAACTCAAGATGGATTAAAGACTTAAAGGTAAAACCTAGAACCATAAAATCCCTAGAAGGAAACCCAGGCAACACCATTCAGGACATAGGCATGTGCAAAGACTTCATGACTAAAACACCAAAAGCAATTGCAACAAAAGCCAAAATTGACAACTGGGATCTAATTCAACTAAAGAACTTCCACATAGCAAAAGAAACTATCATCAGAGTGAACAGGCAACCTACAGAATGGGAGAAAATTTTTGCAATCTATCCGTCTGATAAAGGTCTGATATCCAGGATCCACAAGGAACTTAAAACAATTTACAAGAAAAAAACAAACAAACCCATCGAAAAGTGGACAAAGAATGTGAACAGACACATCTCAAAACCACAATGAGATGCCATCTCATGCCAGTTAGAATGGTGATTACTGAAAAGTCAAGAAACAATAGATGCTGGTGAGGCTGTGGAGAAATAAGAACACTTTTATGCTGTTGGTGGGAGTGTAAATTAGTTCAACTACTGTGGAAGACACTGTGGTGATACCTCCAGGATCTAGAACCAGAAATACCATTTGACCCAGCAATCCCATTACTAGGTATATACCCAAAGGATTATAAATCATTCTATTATAAACACACATGCACATGTATGTTTATTGCAGCACTATTTACAATCGCGAAGACTTGGAACCAAGCCAATAGACTGGATAAAGAAAATGTGGCACATATACACCATGAAATACTATGTAGTCATTAGAAAGAAGGAGTTCATGTCCTTTACAGGGACATGGATGAAACTGGAAACCATCATTCTCTGCTAACTAACACAGGAACAGAAAACCAAATACTACATGTTCTCACTCTTAAGTGGGAGATGAACAATGAGAACACATAGACACAGAGAGGGGAATGTCAGACACCAGGGCCAGTCGTGGGTGGAGGGTAAGGGGAGGGAGAGCATTAGGACAAATACCTAATGCATGCGGGGCTTAAAACCTAGATGATGGGTTGATAGGTGCAGCACACCACCTTGGAACATGTATAACTATGTAACAAACCTGCAGGTTCTGCACATGTAACCCAGAAATTAAAATAATTTTTAAAAAGTTAAAAGTTTTAGTGCATTGGAATCTTAAATCTATTTTTTGAAATAATTTTCATTGTATATATTACCATATGAAATAATTCTTTACATAGAATTTCTCAAATTTATTGACATAAACTTTTTCATCATACATAGATACACACACACACACACACACACTCTTTATTGTGTCTTCAATTATATCTCCTTTTTTGATGTTGTTCCACATATTAATGGATCATCCCATAATTTATTGGCCTTTTGGCTAAGATCTAGTATGGCATCTGTTCTCATCAGTTTAATAAATTATTTTTTTGTCATTACTTTATTTTCCTAATCAACCTTGCTAAAGATTGTTCTATTATACTATCCTTTCTAAAGAATTTATCCCGGGTTTGGATGACCCTCAGGTACACATCATATATTTGTTTTATTATATTACATTTTATTAACCTCTGTTCTTATTATGCCCATTCTTCTATTTTTCTTTGGCTACATTTTTGTTCTTTTAAGTTGCCTATATTAGATTCTTAGTTCAAGAAATTTTAATTTGTTCTTGTTGAAAACACAAATGTTAATTATGGCTAGAAATGTTCCAAAGTTTTGTTATGTGAAATTAATGCAATCATTATCATTTAATTCTTTTGTGTGTGTGTGTGTGTGTGTGTGTGTGTGTGTGTGTGTGTGAGACAGAGTTTCACTCTTGTTGCCCAGGCTGGAGTGCAATGGCAGAATCTAGGCTCACTGCAACATCCCCTCCTGGGTTCAAGTGATTCTCCTCCCTCAGCCTCCTGAGTATCTGGGACTACAGGCACCCACCACCATATCCAGCTAATTTTTTTTTTATTTTTAGTATAGTTGGGGTTTTGCCATAGTTGGCCGGGCTGGTCTTGAACTCCTGACCTCAGGTGATCTACCCACAACTGCCTCCCAAACTGCTGATATTACAGGAATGAACCACCGCACCCGGCCCATTTAGTTCTATTTTTCAAAGTATATTTACTTTTTTCCCTCAAAAGCCTGACCTTTCTTTTTTAGATAACTGCAAACTTTACAACATATAGTGTTTTCTCACTATATTTGTTATTGGTTCATGTCTCATTTACCTGCAATATCTCAAGTAACACAGTCTGTAAAATATTTATTTTTGCAATGTCTAGAAACATCGTTGTTAAAAAAAAGCACACGTTATTTGTAAAGTATATGTTATTTGTATTATCATATATTTTCTATATTAGGCTTCAGATATTTACACATTTCTATTATACAAGCACTGCTCAAATCTTTATTTGTATTCTTGTTTTCTTTATCTCTTTTTTTTTTTTTTTTGAAATGGAGTTTCACTCTTGTTGCCCAAGCTGGAGTGCAATGGCGCCATCACGGCTCACAGAAACCTCTGCCTCCCGGGTTCAAGCCATTCTTCTGCCTCAGCCTCCCAAGTAGCTGGAATTACAGGTACCTGCCACCACGACCGACTAATTTTTTGTATTTTTAGTAGAGATGGGGGTTTACCATGTTGGCCAGGCTGGTCTCGAACTCCCAAACTCAGGTGATCTGCCCACCTTGCCCTCCCAAAGTGTTGGAACTACAGGTGTGAGCCACCACACCTGGTCTATCTCTTGATTTTTATTAAAAATGTATTAAAATCTCTCCATGACTCTGAAATTAACAATTTATTAATTTTTTCAGATTTGACTTTTAAATATCAAAAGCATGTAATTAGGTATAGTCAAGTTCACAAATGTTATGTCTTTTTTGTAGATTCTTCATTTGACTACTATGTTGTAATCTTTATCATCAATTTTGTCTTATATTAATATTGAAACATTGGAATTTTTGGCAATGCTTCCCCATCCTCCCACTACACAGACTCTTTGGATTTATTTTTCTTATGATCAATTATCTTCTTAAACAGTTTTTTTCTGTAAGAGTCTATAAGTCAAAATTCACTTAGTGTTTTATTACTCACAAATACATCTTTGTTGTTTCCATTCTTGGATGATAGCTTAACTCTCATAAAATACTTGGTTGTCTGTTTCCCCACATGTAGACAATATCATGGTAGAGTATTCTGCCATTCACTGTTAATGAGAAGAAAGTTTTCTATCTAATTATCATTTTTCATAGATAATGTGATTTCTCTCTGATATGTTTTAACATTTTTATTTCACTTTTAGTATTTTACTATTATACTCTCATTTTTTAAGTATGGTTTCATATTTACTTGATTGGCTTGATACACAAAATTTATTTGCTTTGTGGACTTACAATTCCTTCAATTATACAAGATTCTGAATTATCATCCATTTATGTATTCCTTTTTCTTCTTTTGCTCCTTTTTCTTCTGTAATTTCTCATGTACAGTGTATTTTTGCTCAAAATATTTGCTACTACCTGCTGTGGAAGGATTACTTATGCATCCTGCAATATATCAGGCTTATCTATACATGTGACTTGCTTTATTCAATGAAATTTGAGTAAGATTGACAAGTTCCACATTCTCACCAGAAGTATTAAAAGTGATGACATGGTTTTATCATGCTTTTTATAGACATAAGATCAATAGTGTCTTATATATGAGTTAGTCTATCAGCTTGGATTGCTGAGCAAGGAAAACATGGACAAACTGATTCTCAATGCACATGTTCCGTGAATGAGAACTCAATGTTTATTATTTTTATTGTGAATATTTCAGTCAGTTTTACTTACGTGTAAATTAGTTAAATCTGACTTGTAAACACCAATGAGACAAATGTTAAAATTTCTCACTCCATCCTCTTTTAAATCTTCCTCTCTGTATATTTTTATCTTTTTTTCTTTAGAAGAGTTTCTCATTAACTACTAATCTAATTTTTCAGTGAAAGTCTATATAACAAAGTGATGGCATACTTCAAAGAATTTAATTAAAGATATTTAATGGGTCAGGCATTTATAGAAACATGGAAATGTCTAAGGAAATTATTAAGATATGGTGAAACACCCAGTGAAAAGTAATAGCAGGGAGGTCTTACTATCTTAGGCCTGAAGAGACAAGGGAAGGGATTGGTTTATTGGAATCAGTTAGTACTAAAGCTGTGAAAGAAAGAGAAGCCCATCAAAACTATAAGCCTAGTCACAGAGGAATGCAACCATTTCCAGACTGTTAGGAGACAGTGGAAGTACAGAAAAAATTGCCTACTCTTTCTATCCTAATGGCTTCGAATCTACCGCCTAACTTTTCCTGTGTCTGAACCCAAATCCAAGTGAAACTAAAACTCCAGATTATGGAATCCACAGAATTAATCCCTAAAAGCATAGAATATGAAAAAAAAAGGCAGATAATTTCTCTAGATTTGGGAGCATAGGGAAATAAATAGTCAGCACATTTTCCAATTTTTCTTATTGACCAAGTCCAATAAAGAAATTATTACATCTATTAACATTTTCATTTAATTTTCTTTTTTATTAGGTGACATTTTAGGTTATAAAGAACAAAAGCTGAATGTGCAGGATTAGACCATTGTTAAAAGGACAGTGGGTAGATGTCCAATTTGGCTATTACAAAATAATTCATGCTTAAATAACGTTTCTGCCAAAACAACTATAAAAGCAATGCAAAATACATAAAACACTCGTTCAAATGCATTGTAGATCAGCCAACACAGTCATAACATGCTCCATATTCACTTTTGATTAGAAATTAAGAGTATTTGCCAATTGTAAGTCTAGGATAACAGAAAATTAACATAAAGCCCCAATCCACCTGTGTTGAAGAAACGGCGATTAGAAATCTAGTATATGCAAGGGACTGGAAATGGAGGGAAGGAAACTACTGAAAACTGAACCCAAAATTTCGCATGAAAATTTTCTTCAGAGAATTTGAATGCTGAAGATGCCCATAGGAAGGACACATTTCAAAAAACAAACTCTACAAACGAAAAACACCAGAAAGCAGCAGCTGGGATGCTAAACACCTGAGCGGAAGTTTTTTTTTTTATAGATGTAGAGCTCTGAGAAGACAGAAGTTTGTGTTCATGACCTACAGAAGTTTGTGTTTCATGACTCTGGTGAAAGCTTAGGCTTTCAGCTGAGGTCTTTGAAGGTTTATATCCTAGGAGCAAAGAAAAGCCCAAGTACACTAGCCGTAACATAGGCTAAAACCTACTCTTGACAGTAATAACGACAACTTCAATAATAATTGCCTGCTCTTAAAATGTTTTCTTATAAACTGTTGCTTGCAAGTAAGAATAAAGTCAGTAGTATCACTGTGGAAAAATCAGACAACACCTTAAGAGAATAATCTAAACTAATTCAGCAGTGAGAGACAGATGCAAAATATGTGCCTCCAGATGTGATATGCTGTGAAAGATGTAACATCGTCAATGCAGTTTTTCAAGCAAGAATGCATCAAGAAAAAAACAAATCGGGAACTTTTATTAATAACGGTTGAAAGAGTTGTACTCTTCAACAATATTGTCACAAAAGGCAAAGTAAAATTGTAGAAATGTTCCATAATTTTAAAACTTTAAATGTCATGATCACTAACTGGTTTCTCACCCTAGACTGGTACTTGTACTACAGGGAAGACATGACATTATAGAGTGAACTGACAAAATTAGAGTAGAAAGAATAGATTAAATAAAAGTATTACAAATAATGATAATGTACTGCATTTGGTAACTGTACTTTTAATTGGTAATATAATATCTCTATTCATAGGAAATAGACACTGGAGTATTTAGTGACAAAGGGCTATAATATATCTCAACTACCTTAAATGGTTCAAAAAATATGTATATATTATGGAGACAATGTGTATGCTTTAAATAATAAAATGAAATAAAATATTAACATTAAGTTACACCAAATAGAATACATAAGTGTTCTTTGAAGCATTTTAATTCTTAAACTTTCTTGTAAGTTTGAAATCACTTCCAAAAGTTTTTAAAAATCAAATAATCTGATCTACGACAGCATTAAGGTAAGAGAAACCATAAGATTGAATAGGTGTAGAAAGGCTTTAGATAAAACTCAGCACCCATTAGAGATAAAAAGCGTCCACATTCTGGGAGTAGAAGGGATATTGCTTGATCTGAAAAACTGTATTTACCAATTTCTACAGCTTACATCATATTCACAGGTGAACATACACTCCTCCTCTTAGATTAGGAAAAAGACAAGGATGACCACTGTCTCTACTTCTATTGAACTTTGTTTGTTTGTTTGTTTTTTGAGATGTAGTTTCGCTCTTGTTGCCCAGGCTGGAGTGCAATGGCACAATCTTGGCTCATCGCAACATCGATCCCCCAGGTTCAAGCGATTCTCCTGCCTCAGCCTCCCGAGCAGCTGGGATTATAGGCATGCGCCACCATTCCTGGCTAATTTTGTGTTTTTAATAGAGACGGGGTTTCTCCATGTTGGTCAGGTTGGTCTCGAACTCCCAACCTCAGGTGATCTGCCCGCCTCGACCTCCCAAAGTGCTGGGATTACAGGTGTGAGCCACCGCGCCCATCCTATTTTAACATTTTACAAGAAGTCCTAGTTAAGAAAAATAAGAAGAATAGCAATTATACGTAAAGTTTGGTTAAAAAACCAAACAACAACCAAAAATGGTCCTAGTGCCCAGATCTTGCCTTCAAAGGACAGGGTTCTTTGAAGAAATAATTGATTCTAGATCTGTGGAAGGGAAAATTGAGGCTGGAACATCTTTTTGTCCAAAAATCAAGTGCTCAAAGACTAATAGTAACATGATACACGGAGATAGAACCTGGCTTGAAGTAACTTCCACTCACCAAATTTGGGTCAATTTCAGAACCAAAATGGACAATGAAATCAATAGATAATAACACAATGAATCAAAACAAATACACATGGATGGACAGTGATACTGAAAAGAAGTGTTGTAACCGAGTGAGTTGAGTGAGTTACAGAGAAACGCCACACCCTGAGACGAATTCAGGAGTCCTGTATTAGCCGGCAACCGAGAGACGGCTAGCGCTCAAAATTCGCTCCGCCCCGAAGAAGGGGCTAGATTTTCTTTTATACTTTGGTTTAGAAAGGGGAGAGGGAGAGTCTAGTTAAAACAATCTTACAGAAGTAAAGTAGGCAAAAAGTTAAAAGGATAAATGGTTACAAGAAAGCAAACAGCTCCAGGTGCAGGGGCTTTGAATCTATCACCAGGTGATAGACGAGGGGCTTTGGGCGTTATCAACCAGACACAAAGGCAGGGGCTCTGGTTGCTATTAACCGGTGGAATTCCTAGGAACTGTGGATATAGCTTGCCACAGTATCTTATCAGTTAATTGCATTCTTGGATGCACTGGGAGTCAGCTTGCACAAGTTAAGTCCTTGAGGAAGCGGGTGGGTTAGGGGGCTGCAAGTCAAGGAGCCAAGATGGAGCCTGTCTGGCTCTCTCAGCTAAGGGAGAGGCAATTCAGGTTAAAACAAGGTAGGGTATCACAGAAGGACGAAAGGAAAAAAATATATGAGGTTGGAGGAAGCATATCCTAAGGAATGATAAAATTAGAAAGTCATTATTCGTCTGGGCACAGTGGCTCACGCCTGTAATCCCAGCACTTTGGGAGGGTGAGGCGGGTGGATCACAAGGTCAGGAGATCAAGATGTTAACACGGTGAAACCCCCTCTCTACTAAAAATACAAAAAATTAGCCGGGCGTGGTGGTGGGAGCCTCTAGTCCCAGCTACTCAGGAGGCTGAGGCAGGAGAATGGCGTGAACCCGGGAGGCGGAGCTTGCAGTGAGTCGAGATGGCGCCACTGCACTCCAGCCTGGGTGACAGGGCGAGACTCCGTCTCAAAAAAAAAAAAAGAAAAAAGTCATTATTTTATATCTGCTAATACAGTTTTAATGATTCAGACAGGGTAATCAATAGAACTTAAAGCCATTGGTGGTGTGTTGGATAAAAAGATATTTACAAGATCTCAGAGTATCATTCACATGTTACTTATTAACTACCAAGGAGAAAATGTCCCTATACAATGAAGAGATCTGGGTGTGACTCCTTATCTAAAAGATACATGCTGAAGCAATTAGAAGCAAAATGTGTTGATGTCTGCAGCATTTATTTTGAGAAAGTGGGCAATGTAGAGCAGGTGGATAGGGCGTTACTGATTGATAAATATCTATGATGAGTATTCAGGTGCTCATTTTCCTGTTCATTCAACGTTTTGAGCATCCAAAATTTTTCAAAATAAAAGCCAAACGTTTACAAAGTTAAAAGCAGACCTCTAAAATGATGTATGTTTTTTTCTTTGAAAGCTGATTTCTCAAATAAATTTGACATGGTCCAAACTAATTATCAAAGCATGAATCTTTTTAAGGATATTATTAATTGAAATTAAAAGCTGTGATAGTAACTATTGAAAATGAAGTGACTAGATTATGAGCAAATTTCTTTTTTCACAGCGTCTGATCCATATCATTTCAAGTGTTTTGCTCTTTTGATTAGAAACATCAAGATTTTATTTAATTGTATAAATTATGTCCCTTGCTTTAGAAACTAACAAAATAAATGGGGAAAAATTAATTACAAAATTGTCGGAATCAACCGTTGAACAGCAGGATACAAGCATCAAAAAATTAGCATTTTCATCTAATCATTCTAGAGACACCTGCTGATTTCAAATAGAGTCTATACACAGATATTATTTTCAAAGTAATTTTACACAAATTCTTAAATTTATATTAAGCCTTGTAACAACATATGGAATCAGTAAAGATTCTAAGAGAGACAATTCTTACCTCTCAACAAGAAATGAGGAGAGCTATGGCTTCTTTACTCTGAATTCATATTCACAAAGAAGGTGGATACTTTGCAAAACAGATGTTATTTGCCTTATTTCTCATGTCTGGGAATGCTTCCAAAGCCTAAGTTATCTCAATTTGCTCAAAAAGAACTCATTTAGTGAAGTCTTGTAAGAATATACTTTTTCTTTCTTATCATTCCGTTCTCACAAGCATGAAATAAAAATGCTTTTGTTATACTAAGAAATGTATGCAGTTTTTTAATGTATTGTGAGGGTAGGGGTTGAATATTCCTGACAATCTCTCAAATATTCCTCTCCCTGTTATGTAACCTACAAAAAGAGATTTATCGCTTTTTTGTATTCACAATGTCTGGCATTGTATGAGGTTCTTAGTAAACATGTGTTATTAAAAATCAATTCTATTCATGAAATATTTTTTCTAATAGGCTGTATCTCCTTTCAAGGTCCTTATGAGCAACATTTCTCTCTGACTGAGTCATGATTACTCAATTTCTCCTTCAAAAAATATATGTTGAAAGTCTGTTGCTTTCTTACATTAGCCTGTCAGATCCTACATTAGCTTGTGGATTTACAAAAATTATTAAGACATGGTCCCTGCCCTGTAGGGAATCTTAAATCTAAAAAGTAGAGAAACATGAAAACAGATCTTCAAAACACAATCTAGGGCAATAGAGGAAATATCAGCCAAGAACCATGGGGCCAAAATAATTGGTGAGAATATGTTTGTCCTCATTTCAAATGTTGAATTTCTTTTCCTTTGTATAAGAATTTAAGATAAGAGCAGGCAGTCACCTTAAACAGTCACCCTAAACTTAAACACCGTAAAAGTCACCTTTAAAAAAAATCTTAATATTTAGAGATAAGCCAATATATATTATCAAAGATAAGACGTAAAGGCTGAGGAAAGTTAATGACAAAATAAGGATCTAGAAAAATGATTACTGCAATTCACCACTTAATAATCTATACTTATTTCAATATCCTAATTTTTTTGTTTCTGTCAAATAAAATCTATTCATAGGAATTTCTGTTAAAAAATGTATCTGACACTTCTGAGTTCCTTGAATTCTTGCATTTGCTTGAAACTAAATGTTTGTTTATTGTATTGTATCCAGTTATCAAATACTAGTGAGGTCAGGTGTGTAGCAGAGGAAAGATCTCTTATCATAAATGCTGTTTAGGACCTCTGACAATATCAAGTATATTACTGATCATACAGACCTACCTCTGATATAAGAGGAAGTGTGAATGTCACTTTGACACTTTTTTTTTGAGACAGGGTCTTGGTCTGTTGCCAGGCTGGAGTGCAGTGACGCATCTCAACTCACTGCAGCCTCTGCCTCCTGGATTCAAGCGATTCTCCTGCCTTAGCCTCCCGAGTAGCTGGGACTACAGGCACGTGCCACTACACCTGGCTAATTTTTGTATTTTCTTAGTAGAGACGGGGTTTCGCCATGCTGGCCAGGATGGTCTTGATCTCCTGACCTCGTGATTAGCCCACCTCGGCTTCCCAAAGTGCTGGGATTACAGGTGTGAGCCACCGTGCCTGGCCTCACTTTAACATTAACCAGGTACTCAGAGAAGTACATTTAAATGCTTGGGTGAAAAGAAATTCTTTGTGCCGAAATCCTGGGTTGCAAGAGAAAGTCTTGTCATTACAAAACATCAAGACTTTAAGGAAAGAAAATCAATCTCTAGGTGTGCTTTGTTTTTTTGTTTGTTTGTTTTTGTTTTTGTTTGTTTGTTCTTTCTTTTCTTGTCTTAAGGAACGAGGTATCCATAGCTTGCCTGAGGATAATCCTTCACCTGTGTTTGCGATTCACAACCTGCTATCTCAGGGGTTTTATTCTAATAGTTTCAACTGCCAGTCAAATACCAGTCATTGCCAAACCTACATCTCTAGCTCTGAATTTTTTTCTGGAACCAAGACCCATGCATTCATGTGTCCTATTTGACATTTCTAATTGTATATTCTAAAGTCACCTAAATTCAACATACTAATTTGAGGAAGAATTTTTAGTTGCAAGAAACACCACTGACTCTAGACAATTTAAATGTTCAATAAAATTTTTGAAATGGCTAGGGAACCTAAATTGAAACAAAATAGTTAAGAATAGTTACCAAAACTGTGATGTAAAATTATTTCAGTGAAGGAACCTTTGCCATCAAAACTGAGCAACACTATTGCAGTAGGAAAATGATTTTGCAGTTTCTACCACTATGACTATTACTATTGTTACTGTTACTATTAATGCTACCACTTCTGCTGCTGCTATTCCTACTACTCTTAGGAGTAATACTTCTACTACTTGAGAGAAGAAAGAAAAAGAAAGGGATCAATTCCACTCCTAGTTGCTTGTATTTCCGGCTGTAGAATCAAAGTTCCTTGCTAGAAATTATTGGAGCCAACATCACTTCTCTGTTTCCAGAACTATTTGAAACTAGGAAAATGTCAATTCCAATACCCAAAGCTGAATTCATTATCTTCCCTGCTCCTTTCATTCCATTTCCTATTTTTCTAAATACCATCACCTCCCAGCCACTCAAGCTACAAACTTCAAAACCATCTTTGACTCCTCACGTTTCCAATCTGCACTGGTCTTATATCTTAACCTTTTTAAGAAAAACATCTATCAAATCTAACTTCTTTTTTTTTTTTAATAAGAAAACTCTGTTAATATTTGAATTCGGGTTCTCAAAATGTTTCATTTTGGTTATTGTCACAATTTATGAGCTTTCTTCCTGACTCTAGTTATTTTCCAGCAATTCATTCCTTACATGAATACAATACTCTTTTAAAAATAAAAATATTTCTGGCTGGGTGCGGTGGCTCACGCCTGTAATCCCAGCACTTTGGGAGGCCGAGGTGGGCAGATCAGGAGTTCGAGACCAGCCTGGCCAATATGGTGAAACCCCGTCTCTACTGAAAAAACACAAAAATTAGCCAGGTGTGGTGGTGCACACATGTAGTCTCAGCTTCTCAGGATGCTGAGATAGTAGAATCGCTTGAACTCGGGAGGCGGAGGTTGCAGTGAGTCAAGACCATGCCATTGCACTCCAGCCTGGGTGACAAGAGTGAAACTCTGTCTCAAAAAAAAAAAAAAAAATTAAGTAAGTAAACAAATACATAAATAAATAAATAAAAATATGTCCTAGTCTGTGACAGGTTATAATCCTTAAGTATCTCTACTAGCCTTACAGATAGAGAGTAAAATAACTAGGAAGTCTCCATTCAAAGCCATTGCCATCTGGCTTTTTCTTGTCTCTCAATCCTGTCACTAACCTAGCTCATGCAAATCACCACCACCAACAATATCACTGTCATTATCATCATCATTACCATTATGGCTTATATTAATTCAAAGCATATTGGAATTCATACAGTTCTATTATCAACATGTTTTTGCACATGCTCTTCCACTGTTCCTTACTAAGTTTTATTCATCTTTCAAGTCTCATCTTAGAGTTTACTTTCTACAGAAGCCATATCTTAAAGCCAGCTTCCAATTACAAAACTGACTGCATTTGGTATCTTTTATTTCCAGAGCAGCAAGCACTTATTTTTATTTTCCTTTCCATCAGTTTCATGTATACAACCCTATGCCAGAAGACTGTTAGCTTCTTGAAAGCTCAAACTGTGTCTTGATGGCCAAGACTCGTGACTTAAGTCTAACATTATTTCTTAATGTTATTGTTTTCAAATCATGATATTTATAGGTCACAGAATGCTTGATGGGCCAAGATGTAAGTAAAATAAGGAATGCCTTAAAATGATGTATTTAGGGGAAACATGCTGTGTAAATTAACTGTTATATAATATATTTTCATTTTTAAACAAATTTGGGCATAGTATGAAGTAAATGACAAATTTATATCTGTCAAACAATAAATGAGAATTTATTTCAATACTGAAGAGTCTGTGCCTATACAGTCTTATGGGGATACACTTCTCTCTGCTGTTGAGGGTTCTACATTGAAAAACTTAGATCATCCACATTGTCATCCCAGATTTTCTTCTCACCTTCTATTCTCCTAAATGGTGCATATTCTTCTCATGTTCTTATTTTTATTATGCTCAGAAGAGTCTAGGGGTGAGGCAGTCTTCAGAGACTGGTGAAACATGGACTTCTAGAAAACACGGAAGTCCTTAAAGTAAAGCAATTTAATAAACTATAATTATATACCTTAGTTAATCTAATAAATATTCCTTTGAAATCAAAACATTAAAGATTTCTGTGATCCTCTGGAACATGATAGGAAATAAATCACTGTAAAAATGATTTGTAAAAGGCTACAAATTTTAAGATCATCACTGAAAAAGTTCATTTATGTCCTACAATTCTTACAGTTCTTCCACTTGCCCAGGAAGATTATCAAAACAAAGAATAATGGAGGTTACCCAAGGAACTCAGGGGTGCAACTTGACCTAGGTTTCAGACATCCATAATACTATAACCTTGTTAATTTAAGAAAAATCAACATGTTTCCAATTATACTGCTGGGTTTACGAGACAAGATTTTTAAAAACTATTAGATGAGGCAGGGCGCGGTGGCTCAGCCTGTAATCCCAGCACTTGGGGAGTCTGAGGCGGGTGGATCACGAGGTCTGGCGATCGAGACCATCCTGGCTAACACGGTGAAACCCCATCTCTACTAAAAATACAAAAATTTAGCCGGGCGTGGTGGCGGGCGCCTGTAGTCCCAGCTACACCGGAGGCTGAGGCAGGAGAATGGCGTGAACCCGGGAGGCGGAGCTTGCAGTGAGCCCAGATAGCGCCACTGCTCTCCAGCCTGGGCGGCTGAGCAAGACTGTCTCAAAACACCAGCACCACCACCACCACCACCACCACCACCACCAACTGTTAGATGAGCTATAGAATATAAAGATTTTTTAAACATTAAATGAATTATAGAATATCAGTGTTGATCATATTCTGAAATGAGTAGAATTAAGTAAATTCTCTTCCTTGTTTATCCAAAATGTTACAGAAGTATGTCACATGATTTTTGTCTATTTTGTTAAGTTACTATATTACTAAAAG